AAAGCCGCGATCGCAATCTGCGGTGGCAATTCGGCGGGAGGTCCTTCACTCCCAGGCGGAATGAGGGACCGTCCGCCGAATTGCCGCCGAATACCTGGAACTGCCGCCCCTGTCCGGAACGGCCGCCCCAAGCACCTGCTTGAGAAGCTGGTGCCTGGAGCCGGCCCTGCCGCAGCAGTGCCAAGGGCTGCGTGCCCAGGACCAGCTCACTGTGCAATTAGCTCTGATGGCTCAGAGCAGGAAGGCTGCTCCCCCCCAGGCCCCGTTGCAGCCCCCCAGCAATGGGATGGGGGTGCCATGCTGCTCCCCCACGGGCCTCATTGCAGCCCCCAGGGTGTGCTGTGCCACCGCCTCACTCCCTCCAGGCCCCAATGCATCCTCCCCAGCAAGGAGGTAGTCCGGGGCACTGTGCTGCTGCCTCCTGTGCCCCACTACAGCCCCCGCAGCATGGCAGAGGAGGGCTGCCTTGTGGTGCCAGCTCCCCCCCCCTTAGGCTGGGCATGGAGCAGCCACTGGTTGCTTAGCAGCCCTGGAGCACACTCGGCTGCTAGGGGAGGCTGGGGTGGTGGGGGAGGGCTGAGCGACCTTTCCTGCCCTTGCATGGCAGAAGCAATTAAATCAGTGAATGCAGCACCAGGGCGGGGGGGGGGGGGTGTCTCGACAACAGAGCATGGGCTGCAGCTTGGAGCCTCCCCCAGGGCAGAGGGAGGGAATGAGACAGGCACAGAGAAGACGGAGGGAGGAGGGTGATCCCTGGGCAGAATCCCTCTTCGGACTGGTATGAACTGCCCCAGGCAGCACCTCCCCAGTTGCTGCCAGCCTGAGACACAGACACCCCTAGGGTGGGGCACGGCAGGTCCTAAATTATGCTCCTGCCTCGCTCCCCACAGCGCCCCCTGCTGTGAGAGGCCAGGGCTGGAGTAGCCGGGATTCTCCCCCCACAGCCACGCTCCCTGGAGCATCTCATTTATGAGTGTAAAGTGATTATTATCCCCTCCCAGGCCCCCCCACATCCTGTGGCTCCTGCTCCCTCTGACTCCAATGGCTTTGCTGCTAAATGGATCTGTCCCTCCTGGAAACACGTCCTATGGGCCAATCCTGAGCAGCTGCCTCCCCCACTCTCCACGGAGAACTGTGGGGACCCAGGCATCCAGCAAGAGAAAGACATGCCCTGCCATGCAAGCAAGGACTGTGCAGCAGGGAGCAGGGCGGGAGCCCCGGTGGGGCGCTCTCCCCTTGCAGCCTGTGCTGACCCCAGTGTCTCAGCGCAGTGCTAGAGGGCGCAGTGCTGCAATGGGTGCTGGCTTTTGGATGAGAACTAAAACCGATGGTCTAACCCGCCCTAGGCATGACAATTCCCGGGGCAACCCCTCTCCCCACAACGCTGTGGTTTGAAACCTCAAGTCCTGGGCAGGTGCCAGGGATGCCAGTCTGACTCTCTGAATATTCTCTGCTCTTCAATTGGATGCAAGATACTTCCCATCTTAAACTGCTGAGCAGTATTGTTACACATTCCCACCCCAGAGGCAGCACCATCTCAGCATGGGCAAGGGACACCTGCATTGACTGCCCCTGAGTCCCACCCCAGAGGTGGCTGCATCTAGCGCGAGGCAAGGGATCCTTGTGTAAACAGCCCCTGCGCCCCACCCCAGAGGCGGCCTCATTTCAGTACAGGACAAGGGATTCCTGTATAAATAATGACTGATTTACTCGGGAAGTCCAGACAATTGAGCTGATTCCTGTAAATTAATAAAATTGCAGAAAACATTTAAAAAAAAAAAGACAAAGCAGAAAAGTCCGTGTGTTTGTCAGAGCTGAGATCTCAGATCCAGTGTGACAAGCGGGTCAGAGGGTTACAGACAAGACCTCATTAGGAATCCAAGCCACGGCACGTCTAGGGGGTCCTGCCCTGACCTCACCCCCCACCAGGGCATAGCGTGTGTGTGTGGCGGGGATCCTCAGACTGGTACATTCAGAGAAGTGCATGCATGATAAGAGCCATCTAGTGCCCTCCGCAGGGTCCAGGGTGCCCAGCTACCTGTCGAGGATGGTGGGAGCACAGGGCTACAGGGTGAGAGGAAAAGCAGCTGTGTGGTTATCATGAGCCTTGGGGGAAGGAGGGAGCGAGACAGAGGAGTGGAGCTGGAATGAGGGGGCTGGAATGAAAGCACATGGAGGAACATGGAGGACAAATAGCTAGAAACACGGCCAGAGACAGCTGGAAAGCTAGAAAGCGGAAAAAGAAAACCAGCCTGAAGAATGAGCGAACGGACAGAACGTGAAGGCTGAAGAAAGAACGAACAAGCGAACGGATGGAAATGCAGGAGAGCAACGAGGAGAATGAATGAACGAGACTAGGAGAAAACAGCCCAGAGGACAGAAGATCCAGGAAAGGCAGAGCTGGGCCAGGCCAGGCCGTGGGAGGCAGCCCAAGCAGTCGGCCGAGGGGATCTCTTCACACAGCTTCATTCCACGCGGCATCTCTCCCACCCGATGCCCGGCACCAGGAACGTGGCACGTCCTGTAAGCACGAACGCTGCCTCCTGCATTTATCCAGCATTCCCTCCCCCGGTGCTGAGATGCAGCTGCCTCTGGGGTGGGACGTGACAGGTATTTATACAGGCATCACTTACTAATGCTATCTACGCCTGCTAATGCTCCTCACTAATACTACAATTACTACTACCCACTAACTACTAATACCACTTACTAACACTGCCCACTGCTTACTCCATTTACTAGTATAGATTGCTAATCCGCCTACTAGGATACGCCTTACAACGCTACCTATTACTAACACCCCTTCCTACAAACATCACCAACGCACTGTCTCCAAGGAAAAATAATCTGGAAAAACTGAAGGGGTGACTATAAATTGGATGAGTTCATCCAGATTAAGGCCCTGTGTGGACACTCTCATTTGGAATAAAAGTGGCTTGAATTCAGAGTTGTGCTTTTTCAAGGGTAGATAATTAATCTGGCGTCAGGGAGGTGGCGAATTTAAAGCAGATTGGCCATTCCCGATTCATTCTGGGTGTGGATGCTCTAGGTCTGGAGACAGAGATCCACCTATGGAGTTTCATCAGCCACAAATGCATTCGTAAACAAGCCTTAAAGCTAAACCGGAGTCATGCCATTTTATTCCAAATGAGAGCATCCACACAGGGAGTTAATCCAGTATAACTAGACCAGTACAATAATGCTGGTAAATTGCCCCATCTAGACAGAAACAGCCTTGTTAACGCTACTCCTTCTCCCATAATACCCCTCCCTACTGCTGCGAGCAGTAGTGTTTACTTGTACTATGCCACAACCACCTACTAACCCTGCATCCCAATACCGCTCCCACCTGCTCATGCGAGAGCGGTTGCCCACGCAGCTCTGGCCGCTGGCTGGCGCACAGACCCCGCAGCCCAGGGTTCTCTGATCTTTCCTGTCTCTTTCCTGGAGGTGTTGGTGGGCTGCAGACTTGGCAGGCAGGCATTGGTTTATTCACCTTTCGATGCCTCATGTCCCTGCCTGTCTGTCTGCCACCCCCCGGCCCCCACTCTGCTTGTTAAATATTAACGGAGCTCTCATCCCTAGCCTGTGGGCCCCAAGGCTGCATCTGCCAAGGCCCTGGACGTGCTGCCCCAGGGCATTGCTTGGCTCTGCACTGCCTCCAAAACAGGAGCATAGCACCCCCTGCAGGGTGCCCCCAGCCCTGCACTGTTACCACACACGGGGGGGGGGAATCTTAATTTCCCCCCTCAAATACTGCATGCCCAGAAGGAGTTGGAATAGTTCCCCCCTTAGCACTGACCCCAGTCTGAGCCTGCCCTAGGCTCCAGCCCACACCCCATCACCCTCACGGGACACTCTGGTAACAGCCTTGTCCGGCACACAGAGGGGACCCGGCTATCACCCCCATCAGCACCCCCTGCAGGGGGCTCCGCAGCACTGCGCTGTTATTGCAGGCGCACATACACACTCCCCTGTCGGGCGCTGCATTGCCAATCCCCCACCACTGCCCCCTGCCCAGGCCTGCGAGCACAGCAGGCTGCTGGAACATGGCAGCGGTCAAGGGCAAAACAGCAAAATCCATCGTCCTCAGTAGCCATTGGGCAACAGAATGTAAAGAAAAAACCTGGGGGCCTTTCTCTCTCCCCGAACACATCGGTATCAGCCTGGTGCCAGCAGACGGCTCTGGGTGTGGGGTCCTTGTCGCACCAGGCACCACGCACACACCCCCAGCTCCCGCATCGCACTGGGTGCCACACACACACAGCTCCCACGGCACAGACCACCGCAGCCCCCTCAGTGCACCGGGTGCTGCTGAGACCCCTCCCGTCCTGGCCCTCTCATCACACAGACCCCCCCCCAGCCCCTTCATTGTGCTACGCTGTGACCCCTCATCACTCCAGATGCCTTGCAGACCTTCCTGACCATGTTTGGGTGCCCTGTTGTGCCAAGAACTGCACAGACCCCTGTCCAAGATGAGGCCCCTCACCACCATGCCAGGTGGCGCACAGCCCCCCAGCCAGCCAAGCTCTGGGGCCTCGCTGCCCCAGATGCTACACAGCCCCCATGACCCAGGTCAGGGCTGCCCCCAGTGCTGGCGCTGCACCGACACACAGCGAAAGCCAGGCCCTGCCCGATCGGCTCACAGGCCAGACGCAGGAAGGATTCTTCTCCCTGTCTGACTGACAGGGAAACTGAGACACAGAACAATGATGTGACTTGCCCCAGGTCACACAGGGCATCTGCAGCAGAGCCAGGAACCAAACCCCATTGTCCCGAGTCCCCCACCAATCCCTTACCCACCAGGCCCCCTTCTGCCTCCCCAGCCACTAGCCAACAGGGCACCACTCCACCTCACCTTGCTGGCCCCCACTCCGCCCGGCTGGGCCAGTCCTGTCCGGCAGTGGCTGGCACTGGCCCGCTTCAGCCTCGCGGTGCCGCTCCAGGGGTTGCATCAGCAGGTCCAAAGTTCTCAGTCGGAGGTTACAAGCACATCCACGCGCCCCCACAGCCAACGGGGCAAAGCAGGCCCTTGGTGCCAGGGCAAGTCCCAGCTCCCGCATCCCAGGCAGACAGAGCAGCACTCTCAGAAGGGTTCCCTAAGATGCACTACCTCCCCGCCCAGGGGTAATGGAACCCAGGAATCCGGGCTTTCCCCACTCCGCCCGGAGCAGGGCCTAGGAGTCCTTCCTGGCTCTCTCCACATACACCCCTGCCCCAGCCCCTAAACTCCCCTCCCCCAGCTGAGAATGGGACCCAGGAGTTCTGATTCCCCTATTGTAACCCACTAAACAATGCTTAATGTGGGAGGAGGGGTCACAAAGGGTCACAGACCTGCCCCTCCCCCCAAAAATAAAAGATTTAAAAATCAAGCTGGGTTGACCTTTAAGTGCTATTTTACTAAAGCTTCTGCTCCCAATTTTTGATAATTCCCCCATGCTTCTTTCACCCACTAAGCACTGTCACTCGCCCCACCCTGCCCCGGGGTGAAGCCCAGGAGTCCAGGCATCCCCCTCCCCTGTTCCAACCCACTAGAGCTGGGGCCCAGAGCTGAGAACTGACTCCCACAGGTGCCAAGTCTGCCAATGTTTGCTGATTTGGTGAAGCTTCCAGCTGCTGGAGTCATGTGATAAGAAGAGTCTCAGGTTTGGCTTACAACAAAGAAGCCAGGTCCTAGCCCACAGGGCTGAAGAGAAACCTGGAAAGTGTGATCCCAAAAGAGTCCAAACCAGGAACATGAAGTAACAGCTCCCAGCCTCCCCCCCTGCACTCTAACCCACTACACCCTACTCTCCTACCAGAGCTGGGCTAGAACCCAGGAGTCCTGATTCCCCACCCCACCCCTACTCTAACCACTACACCCTACTCCCCTCCTAGAGCTAGGCTAGAACCCAGGAGTCCTGATTTCCAGCCCTACCCCCAACCACCACACCCTATTCTCCTCCCAGAGTTAGGGGCAGAACCTAGGCATCCTGACTCCCATTCCCCACCTCAGTCTTTTCCACTAGACTCACTCTCCACCCAGATATGGAATAGGACCCAGGAGTCCTGACTTCCAGCCCGCCACCCTCTAACCACTAGACCCCATATCCAGTCTTGCAATCATACTTCCTTGTTCGGCTTTAGTTCTGTGTCTATGAACCGCCTTCCCCCCACCCCCGTTCTTGGACTCTGGGCTCTGCAAATATACCAAATTTATCAGCCATTACCAAGGTTACAATAATATTTGAGTTTGGTGCTAAACCCAGATTGAGTGACTCAAGGCCAGGGCCCCAGGGCTGTGAGAGTGGCTGGCTCAAGAGGATGGGGAATGGGACATAGACCCTTTCCCTCTAGGGGGCACCAGCTCCGTTCTGGCTCCAGGATGTGGGGGCTGGTTGGCTGAGGAGGCAGAGGCTGGGACATGGGCCAGTACAAAGGATGAATTATTGTTTGCTATTAATGCTCATTGGTTTATAATTTGTATTCATACTGAATTGTGAGCCCGGCTAGTAGCTGTCCTCTGTCTCAGCCCCATCCTGGTAATATGGCAGGATCCTGCCCCCCTTGGGCCTCAGAGCCATTCCACAAGCCAGCCGGCCACCAGGTGCTGCAGGAAGCAATCAGGGGAGGGAATGGGGATCCCATTGTGCGCATCTCTAGGGACAAGGATAACAATACCCCTGCCACCCCATAATAGCCCTTCCCCAGCCTGGGTGCAGCAGGCTCAGCCAAGCTGATGCCATGGGAGCTGCTGCTGGTTAATTGCCTGGTGGATTCACTACAGGGCTGAGCCGACTCATTCTTTCCATTTCATTGTTTCGTTCCATCGCTACTGGTCCATCTCCTGGGAGAGAGAGTGAGAGGGCAGCGGGTGGGTTAGAGAGAGTTCAGAGGGTTTTATTTATCTACCCACAGCTGAGACTCCCAGTACAAACTCAGCCTTTCCACTGTAGGGGGCGCCAGCCGCAATCCCCAGGGCGGGAGGACTGGGGGAGTCTGAGGGCAGGGAATGGGTCTTGGGGCCTGTCCCCTCTAGGGGACACTGGCTCTTACCTAGCCCCAGGGTGGAGGGACTGGCTGCCTCGGGGGGGAGCGGGAATGGGATATGGGGCTTTTTCCCACAAGGAGGGCACCACTCCTATCTGGCTCCACTGTGATACTACTGAGTGTCCCATCCCCTGTAAAACAAGTCTGGGTCTGAGATCGGGGAGCAATGAGGCAGGAGTCTCAAGTGGCACTGTTTGGCTTTCTGGGGGCAGCGTCACCGCCCAGGGCCACGGAGAGAACCCAGGAGTCCTGACTCACAGCCACCAGCTCCTACTCCCTACCCAGAGCCGGGTGAGAGCATTGACAGGGTGCAGTTTAAAGGTCACGTCTGATTTCTGTGTCTAATCCGCTTACAGGGGAGGCAGTGGCTTGTGTTTACCTGCCTGGTTAATACCAGACAGCACTTATCTGTCTCTGCGATCCATATTCCCAATCAATGCCTTTCATAATTCAATTTCTCGGCTGCCCCAGATTTGGGGAACAACTCCCCCTCCTTCCTAACCTCCCCACGTCTTTAAATGGAGCAGCCAGGTACTGCCCCCACAGCCAGTGCTCCTGCCCCGCTCCCCACAGTGCCCCCTGCTGGGAGAGACCATTATAGTAGTGTCAAAAGACCTCATTGTACCAGGCTCTGCACAGCCCCTGATGGAGAGCGAGGCCCCTGGTGCTACACAGACACACAGTGAGAGACAGTCACTGTCCCCAAGAGCTCAACAGCTACACAGATAAAGGCAGGGAGAATGGCAGAATTACTCTCATTTTACAGCTGGGGAAGTGTGGACTCCCTCAGTATTTTTAGTTGACACTGCAGGCCCCTCCCCCCATTTTTAGGCTGGTACGTTGGCATTCCCTGGTATAGCAAATTAGACTGTAGCAGCCCCTAGAAGTGTTAGTTCCTGCTATTGCATTACTGAGTCTTTGCAGCTAGTGTGTCCTAGTATTTTTTTGTTGCTACTTTAGACTAGCCTCATAGTTGTCATATGACACGGGTGCAGCTTGAGTGTTGAGGGATATAGTCCCTCAGCTAGTAGTGGTTTGGTTGCTACGCTAGTACCGCCTGGTATTTTTGAATAGCACTGCAGTATCCCCTAATAATAGAGGCTGGTACCTGAGTATTTTTGTGGGTTACTCTCTAGCACAACTCCATGTTTTTCAGCGCTGCACTAGCATCCCTGACTATGTCTGGTGGCCTTGCAACAGCACCAGCTAATGTAGCAGCACCACAATTTTTAGGCAGGTACTCAAGCACTCATTAGTATTCCTGGATGGTACTGCAGGATCACCTAGCATTTTTCCTGGGCCTCTAATGCTATAGTATAGTTACATGATACTGTAGCATCAGCCTCTAGTATTTTTAGGCTGGCTCTGCTTTGGGACTGAGTAACTTTGACAGCTACTGTAGCAGGTCCTATTTTTTTGTGGCTGATACTCTGGTGACCTGCAGTATTTTTGTAGCTGGCATTACAGTGTCCCCTCGCATTTGGGGGCTGGTACTCTACCATCCCTGGGTATATATTGGAAGGTACTGCAGCATCTCCTGGTGTTGCAGGATGGGTCTGCAGCATCCCGTGTACCTTTTTGGCAGGTACTGCAGCATCCCCTAGTGGTGTAGTCTGGTACTGCAACACCCTGCATCTGTTTTCCTGCTTCAATGCAGAGGCTGCGAGTGCATCTGGGGAGCAGCCTCTCTCCTACGAGCAGAGGATGAGCTCTACAGGCAGCTGCCACAGGGTCAGCTTAGCAGGCAGATGATTTGCGGCAGGTGGCCACCTCAGCCCCTCCCCAAACACGTGGCAAAGGTGAAGCGCCCCCTGTGTACCAAGTGAGGAGGCTGTACTGGGAGCCAGGCTTGAAGAGGTTTTTTTTTTGAGGGGGGGGCAGGGGAGCAGTGAACTGGCAGCTCACACAACAGTTCAGAAATTGACACCATGTCAGATGCTGGGGAGTGCGGTGGACACCACCCCTGGCATTGCAAGTGGCGGGGAGACACACACACACACACCCCGCATGGACCCACACCACTGGGGCCAGAAATGAACCGCGCAAGGAGACAGACCTAACACACACAGTGCTGCCCAAAGCAGCCCCTGCTGGGAGAGGCCGGGGCTGGAGTAGCCGGGATTCTCCCCCTGCAGCCAGGGCTCCCTGGAGCATCTCACTTATGGGTGTAAAGTGATTTTTATCCCCGCCCAAGCCTCCCCCGCATCCTGTGGCTCTTGCAGAGGGGACTCCCACTGATTCCAATGACTTTGCTGCTATATGGATCTGGCCCGCCTGGGAACAGGTCCTATTGGCCCACTGGGAGCTGCTGCCTCCCCCGCCCGCCTGGCTCATCCATCAGCTGTAGCAGGGATATTAATCACTTTCCATAATGCCCCTCTCAGTCAGGTTGGGGACCCAGGCGTCCTGCAGCAGAAAGACATGCCCTGCCATGCAACAAGGACTGTGCAGCAGGGAGCAGGGCGGGGGCCCCGGTGGGGCGCTCTCCCCTTGCAGCCTGTGCTGACCCCAGTGCCTCAGCGCGGTGCTAGAGGGCGCAGTGCTGCAATGGGTGCTGGCTTTTGGATGAGAACTAAAACCGATGGTCTAACCCGCCCTAGGCATTACAATTCCCGGGGCAACCCCTCCCCCCCCCCGCAAAGCTGCGATTTGAACCCTTGAGTCCTGGGCAGGTGCCAGGGCCAAGGATGCCAGTCCAATTCGCGGCACCCTCAGTGCTCCCAAGCCAGGCATACGCCCCTGGAAATAAATATATAGATAAAGGCAACACAAATCTATTTGCAGAGACCAGATTGTTCCATTAACGTTGTCTTTGTCAGGTGGGCGGGGAGGGGGAGAATGTGTCTAACATGTCGGGTTGTGGGGGGCGGGGCGGGGGGTTGTGGCAGCATATTAAGGCCCAGCTCCTAATTTGAGGCCGGTATGACAGCAGCTGTGACATGTGCAATACAGAATGATAAATATAATCTGTCACCCGGGCAAAATCAATAGTGGTTTATTTATTTATTTTTTCTGTCTCGTGTGTGATTTGACAAGCAACGTTAGGGAAAAAAATATATAATCATGCAACAGATTTGCTTCCCCCCACCTCTATTCTGGTGTCTGGGCTCTGTATAAGAAATGCCTCACCCCAGAGGCAGCTGGATCTCAGCACCAGGAGAGGGATCCCTGTATAAACAGCCCCTGTGCTCCACCCCAGAGGCAGCTGCATCTCAGCACCAGGAGGGGGAATCCCTATAAACAGCCCCATATCCCAGGGGCAGCTGCATCTCCTTTGTTCAGCACCCTGCTAGCCGTTTCTCTGAGGCTGGGCTGGGGCATTACAGAAATATCTGTCTCCTGGGTGAAGCACTAGCTGGCTGGCGCGGAATGTGCTGACTCCGGGGCGGATTCAGCCAGGATGATCTGTCTGTTATTGACGTATTTATCAGAGCGATTTCCTCTTCCCATGTCACTGCGACACAAATAACCAGGCATGGTAGAGGGGCAGGCGTCTGGGAACAGGCGCTGGGGGGGATGGGGTGGGCAATGCTCCCGCTCTTGCATTGACACACAGCAGGGCTCACCCTGCCAGCAGGGGGCACCAGGGACACATGGCTCCACTGAGCAGGGCTCCTTCCCTCCAGTAGGGAGTGACAGGGACACAGTCTCGTTCCTCCACTAGGCACAACAAGGACACACACAGTGTAAGTCTCACTTCATCCAGCAGGGGCAACAGATACACAGACACGGGCTTCAGCAGAGAGGGAGGGGGACCCAACCCCTGACCCCTCCCTCAGCCAGTAACACATTAAGCCTCCAGCTTTGCAATGGGCTCCCTCCCCTAGAATCTTCCAGGGATTGACAGCAGGGTCCCTCCTACATCTGGGAATAGAACCCAGGACCCTCAGCCCCCCCACCCCACTCAAGCCACTAGACCCCACTCCCCTCCCACTACTGGGAATAGAACCCAGGAGTCCTGACCCCCAGCCCCGCCCTCTAACCACTAGACCCCATTCCCCTCCCAGTCATCCCTCAGCTCCAGAAGACCTGTCAACGCTGGTTCTCCACTTGTGAGGTAGCTCCCTTCTCTTCAGCTGTCATTATATAATGCCTGCATCTGTAATTTTCACTCCATGTATCTGAAGAAGTGAGATTTTTTACCCACGAAAGCTTATGCCCAAATAAATCTTAGTCTTTAAGGTGCCACCGGACTCCTTGTTGTTTTGGTGGATACAGACGAACATGGCTACCCCCTGATAGGGCACAGGAAAGAAGTAGAGATGGGGCTGGGGTCGGCAGGGGGCTCCCAACATGAGCTTGGGGGGGGGGGGGCGTGAGATGGACAGACGGATCCAAGTGGGGGACAGATGGGAACTGGGACCATTAGTTTTATTATATTTATTACATCTCTGAATCCTGTTGTTAAGTACAAATATACACAGCAAGGAATCTGTACAGCTGGGCTCACAGGGGAAGGGGGGGATCCTGACTGTGACCCACACCCCACCCTCCCGCTCCCAAACCAACCCCCTGCACTCCCCCTCCATCATCAGCCACATGCATCAGCCCCTAGGCAACCTCCTCTTCCCTGCAGGGCAGGCGGGATACCCCAGGCAGCTCCTACCAGAGTAGGGGAAGTCACCCCGCCCCCTGTGGACCCACACTGGACCCTGATTCTGGAGCGCATGAGGATGTGTTTGAGGGACGTCAGGCGAGATCTTACTAATTTCACAACCCCCTCCCCACGTTAACTCATGTCTCCATCCCGCATTAATAGAACCCAGGAGTCCTGACATGCAGCCACCTCCCCACCCCCTCAACCAGTAAAGGACCCATCCAATTGCCCCCAGAGCAGCTTCTGCACCCACTGGAAGGGCTGTCTCTCCCCCTTGCCCTACACCCTCTCCTCAGATGCCCCTTTGCCTCGTCTCTGTGTCACCCCACAGTGGGGGAGCCGGGAAGTCAGCTGGCAGATTTGGGGGGACAGGAGATCCCAGCTTGGGAGGAGTGGGAGGAAGAGCCACAGCTGGTGAGGAAGAGCAGACCCTAAAACACACAGAGCAGAGGGGTCAGTCTAGCTCTAACCACTACAGCCCACTCCCCTCTCAGAGCCCAGAACAAAACCCTCGAGCCCTGCTCACTTGGCCAGGGGTTCTTAAACTGGGGTCAGGACCCCTCTGGGGGTCACGAGATTATTATATGGGGGGTCGCGAGCTGTCAGCCTCCACCTCAAACCCCGCTTTTAGAATGGTGTTACATATATAAAAATGTGTTTTTAATGTATAAGGGGGGTCGCACTCAGAGGCTTGCTGTGTGAAAGAGGTCACCGGTACAAAAGTTTGAGAACCACTGTACTAGGCCCCCTTCCCTTCCCTTCCCTGCAGCTCTTACGTGTTTGTCTTTATAAATGGACGTCGAAAACCCCGTCCTCCACATCCTGGACCTCCTCCTCGCGGATCTCTGCAGAGATAAACACAGCTCTTTGCGGCTGCAACCCCAATGGAGCAGCCCACACTCCCACCACAAGGGGGAGCCACTCAGCTAGGATTCATTATGGCCAGTACTCCCAATGCACTTTGACAAGCACGGATCCCTCCCCCGCGCTGAGATGCAGCCTCCTCTGGGCAGGGCATGGGGGCTGTTTGTACAGGGATCCCTCCTCTGGTGCTGAGATACAGCTGACTCTGGGGTGGGGTATGGGGGCTGTTTGTATAGGGACCTCTCCCCAGCGCTGAGATGCAGCCTCCTGGGGGTGGGAGTGCTGTTTATACAGGGATCCCTGACCTGGTGCTGAGATGTGGCTGGCCCTGGGGTGAGGGCTGTTTATACTGCTGTCCCTCACCCAGCGCTGAGATGCAGCTGCCTCTGGGGTGGGATGCAGGGGCTGTGTAGACAGGAAGCCTGTGCGGAAGCAGGCTGGGATAACACAATGTGTTGGTTGCCGGGGGCCCATGGTGGGGGTGTCTCAAAATAGCTGCCAGGGCTCAGAGCACCATTCCGCACCATCTGCAGCGACACAAACAGGAAGCAGCATGGTGCAGTATTATGGGCCAGCACCGAGGCCTCGGTGGGGTCAGGAAATCACATGGAGGAGGTGTTATCGGGCTTGCAAGCTGGCTTCCGGCACAACACCAGGGCCATGGGGAGAGTGGGGGAGGGGCTAGAGTCAGGTCTCCTGGGTTCTCTCCCAGCTCTAGTAGGAGAGTGCTGGAGGGGTTGGGGTGCACCCTCAGCTCTGGGGTAGTTGGGTGGGGCTGCCCCCCGGTGTCCATACCTGTGTGGTGTGGGGATCTGCAGGCCGGGCGGGGCAGTGAGAAGCTGAAGGAGCGGGCGGGGACGTGGGCAGGGCTGGCCAGGCTGAAACTCTTGGCCCGTTTGCGGCACTCCAGGGAGAGGTGCTCCCGGCACTGCCTGTGGCAGTTCACGCCGCAGCCTGGGGGGCAACAAGGGAGGTCAGGGGGGGTCGGCCCTGCGGCTCCCCTTGGTGCAACCCCCACAAGGCCCCACACCTCCCCATATACCCTAATGCAGCCCAGGTCCCTCACACACCTCCCTGGCCCCAGCTCCCCAATTCCCCCTGCACTTCCAGCTCCCCCATGCACCCCCACAGCCCAGCTCCCCTGGTGCACCCTCACAGCCCCAGCTCCCCTGGTGCACCCCCACAGCCCAGCTCCCCCATGCATCCCCTCATCCCAGCTCCCCAATTCCCTGGTGCACCCTCACAGCCCAGTGCCCCCAATGCACCGCTCCATCTTCTGCAAAGCACCCCAGCTCCCCCCCAGCTCAACCCCCATGGCACCACGCCTCCCTATATACCCCCAATGCACCCCTATCTCCAGAATACAATCATCCAAAGCCTCTTTCCCACAGCGCAGCTACAGCTTCCCCCCCAACCCATAATTTCCCCAGGCAACCCCCTCCCCCCTCTGCCCCCCATACTCACAGCGGCACTTTAACCCTTGTTTGTAGATTCCCAGTATCTGGGGAGAAAGATGCGAGGGGATGGGGTCAGCGAGGTGGGGGGGGCATGCTCAGTTACACTCCAGCAGTCGAATTGCTACAGTTGAAATGAGCTAATTTCACAAGATTTCGTTTCAGCTTTCTGTCCCAATTCCAAGTGACCGGTTCTCGGGATCTCCCATGGAACGGACAAGCCGAGCATCGACCAATGCTGGTGAGGGGGATGAGCTGACACTGGGACGCTTATCCCTGCTGTGATGCAGCTGACTGGGGTGGGGGCTGTTTATACCGCTATCCCTCACCCAGCACTAAGTTGCAGCTGCCTCTGAGGTGGGACACGGGCTGTGTATACAGAGATCCCTGACCTGGCGCTGAGACGCAGCTGACTCTGGGGTGGGGGCTGTTTATACAGGGATCCCTCACTGGGTGCCAAGATGCATCTGGTCCTGGGGTGGAGTGTGGGGACTGTTTATACCGCTACCCCTCACCCAGCACTAAGATGCAGCTGTCTCTGGGGGGGGGGGGGGGGCACAGGGGCTGCTTATACAGGAATCCCTTGCACAGTTATCCCAGGATAAAGGTGCCTTCCCCCCATAGAACTCATCTTCTGAGAACAGCGAAGTCCCTTTACCCCAGTCTAACTGGGCCCTCTCTGGGTGAAGGGGTTGTCCTGTGATAACTAGGCCGGGACAAGGAAAGCTGGAGAGCTGTTGTGTGCTGACACAGAGACTGCGTCTCTTCAGTCATCTCCCCTGCCCCAGGGTCTAACCCCCTTTTTGCCCTCTCCGTGGCCGCAAGACACCCCACTAGCACGGTGCAACTTTCCCTCGCGGAATCGACCCCCCAGTCATGTGGAACAAGCCCCCCAATCTATGGACGGTGGCAGCTTGGGGGTCCTATGTTCTCACAGGGGGGCCACAGAGGGCAGCCCCCAGAGCAACCAGCCTCCTGCACCCTCCCGGGGGGCAGCAGTGACTCACCAGGCTCTTGCAGTGACGGCAGGACACAGGGTGCAGGAAGGTGGTCTCCTGGAAGCTGTGGATGAAGCCCATCTTCCCGTCCACCGCAGCGCTGGACTTCATGAAGTACGAGATCATCTCCTCCCGGCTGATGCAGCCATCCCTGGGGGGACACAGCGTCATGCTGGCAGCCAGGGCGCCCAGGTCTGCACGTGGCTCTGGGCGGGGACTGGGGGCCAGGGGGGTAGAGCAGGGGACTGGGAGTCAGAGCGCTCGGGGTCTGCGCCCAGCTCTGGGCAGGGAGTGGGGGCCAGGGCGTTAGAGCTGGCGGTTGGGAGTCAGGATGCCCGGGGTCTGCACCTGGCTCTGGGCGGGGCCTGGGGTCAGGGGGGTAGAGCTGGGGGCTGGGAGTCAGGACTCCCAGGTTCCAACAAAGCAAGAAAGCATTATGGGGGATGAGGCTTCTAGGAGGAGGCCTGGCCCCAGTACCTCACCCCTCCTTCTGGTGTGAGGGGCCCACGGGGTCCCCCTTCCTGTGCACTCACTGGTTCTCATCCAGGTCCCCAAATTTGCAGAGGTAGGGGAAGTTGTTGCGGATGATTTTGAACTCCTCCTGGGAGATGTGGCCGTCTCCATCCACATCGAAATTCCGGAACACGGACTGCAGGGGGCAGCAGAGAGCGGAGGGAGAGTCAGCCCTAGGGGTACGCCACCCCCTACACAGCCCCAGGCACAGGAACAAGGAGTACGGTGGGTGCTGCAGCGCCCCCGGGCTGCCAGCCCCACACCCGGGTCTTTGCTCCCGGCCTCAGGCCACATGGACTGCAGGGGGCAGCAGAGAGCGGACGGAGGGTCATCCTTAGGGGTACGCCACCCTCTATGCAGCCCCAGAGGCCCCCCCACACACACACGGACTACAGGGGGCAGCAGACACTGGGCGGGGGGTCAGTTCAAGGTACCCTGCCCTAACACAGTCTCAGAGCGTCCCCCACCCACAAAAACACAGAGCATGGTGTTCAAGGCCCCTGCTCTCACCTCTACCATCTTCTCAATGTGTGTCCGCACCAGCGTCTGGTCCGGTTTGGGTTTCACAGCCAAGGCCCACTCGTCTATGTCAGCCGGTCGGCTTGGGGGGGAACAGGAGGTGGGGCTGGACGGCTGGATGGACATACAGAGACATATTCTCTGAGTGATCCCCTGGCCAGCGCTGAGATGCAACTAGCTCTGGGGTGGAGCGCAGGGGCTGTTCATACCGGGATCCCTTGCCCGGTGTTGCGGCCCAGGGGCTGGAGCTGGGGGGTGTTAGTGAATGTGTGGGACCCGGCAGCCCCCTCTCTCTGGACAGGAAGCTCAGCCCCCAGGGAGCAGAGCGGAAGGCAGCCGCGAATGCGCCTGGGAACCAGCTGCTGGGGCCGGATGGGACAGAGACGCCATGGCCTGCTGCTCCCCCCCATTCCCCACAGGGGGCAACCGAAGAGTCATGGCCCTGGGGGGAACAGGGCACAGGTCACACAGCGTTGTGCACTCACACACGCACTCACGGCCGACTTGCCCCGGGGTTCTCTCTGCAGCGACAGCTGGTAGATCTCCTCCTCCGTCTGGTACTGATCCAGCGACACCTGGGGGAGCACAGCCCGTCAGCCAGTGGGGGTGGGTGGTTCACCAGGAGCTGGCTGACAAGGTTGGCGTTGGCCTCAGAGAGCGGTTTGATGGTCTGGGGTGGAGGGAGCTACAGGGGGGAAGGGAGTGCACTGCAGGTTGGGACGTAATGAGGGATGCAGTGCGGGGTCCGGGAGTTGGGATGCAATCGGGGTGCAGTGAGGTTCAGGGGCTGGAGTGCAGGTGGTACTATGGGGGTGCAGTGAGAGGTCCAGTAGTTGAGGTGCAATGGGGGGGCAGGGGGCGGGGTCTCACTGTGAGCAGGTTGATGAGGTCCATGTTGGCCTCGAAGGGCGGTTTGATGCTCTGCACCAGCACCAGCTCGTTGAGGATCCCGAAGAGCTGCTGCATCTTGGTGCCATTGACGCGGGTGTGGGCCCGGTCCAGCCAGTCAGGCAGTGCCACGTGCACGGCCACCAGGTCCTTGAGGTGCACACCCAGGATGGGGAAGCGGAAGCCAACGCACTCGGCCAGGCGGCGCCGGTAGCGGCTGTAGTTCCCCAGCGAGGTCACCAGCTCCGTCATGGACTCCCACAGCTGGGAAGGACGGGAGGTCAGGGGCTGGGCCCAGAGCAAGCCCCCAGCCTCGCCCCAGAGCTCTCCCAACCCCCCAACCCCGCCCCAGACCCCAGCCTCGCCCCAGAGCTCTCCCGACCCCCCAACCCCGCCCCAGACCCCAACCTTGCCCCAGAGCTCACCCAACCTCCCAACACCACCCCAGAGCTCCCCCAACCCCTCAACACTGCCACAGACCCCAACCTTGCAACAGACCTCCCCCGAACCCCCAACCCCACCCCAGAGCTCTCCCAACCCCCCAACACCACCCCAGAGCTCCCCTGACCCCTCAACCCCACCCCAGAGCTCTCCCGACTCCCCAATACCGCCCCAGACCCCAACCTCACCCCAGAGCTCTCCGACCCCCCAACACCACCCCAGACCTCAACTCTGCCCCAGAGCTCTCCCGACCCCCCTCCAACACCACCCCAGATCCCAACCTCGCCACAGAGCTCCCCCAATCCCCCAACCCCACCCCAGAGCTCACCCGACCCCCCAACCCTGCCCCAGACCCCAACCCCACCCCAGAGCTCCCCCAACCCTGCCCCAGAGCTCCCCCAACCCCCCAACACTGCCCCAGACCCCAACCCCTCAAGCCCACCCTAAACCCCCCCAAGATCCCAAACCCCCCAACACTGTCCCAGACCCCTGAGACCCCAACCCCACCCCAACCGCCTGATTGTCATCCCACCCTCCAGCATTGCCCCAGCCCCTCGAGTATCACCCCAGCCCACTTCCCCCCAGCCCTGCGCCATGTACCTTGGTGGTCTCAGAGCTGACGTGGCTGTGGGTCTCTTTGAGGCGAGAGATGGAACTGTGACTCAGCCCCCCCACCACGGCCATCAGCGTGTTGAAATTCTGCAGCTGCAGGAGTCTCTGCAGGGATGGCCAGCCGGAGGGGGATCCAGCCGAGGGACGGTGGAGATCAGTGGGGGAGAGAGAGGTCGGATTAGTTCCAAGGACGGAGGAGTGGGACCCGGGAGACATTCACACCTGGAGCCCAGCTGGGGCTCAGCGTACAAAGGGCCAGCAGGGGGCTGCGGGTCAAGATTGAGGGGCCCCTCACCTGCGCCACCAGGATGAAGCGGGTGATGACCTGCGCCCGCTGCTGGGCGGTCGGCTTGCTCAGCACCATGAGCTGCACCCATTGTGAGACGCTGTTGAAAAGGGTGATGAACCGCTCCAGGATGGGGTTGTCCACAGTGCAGCCGTGCATGACGAAGCTGTGATAGTCCTGGAACTGGGATGGAAACAGGGCGTCAGGGCCTGCCCCATGGGAGGGGGGAAAATAGGGTGTGTGGCAGTGCCTGCCCCATGGGGGAGCATGGGGGTTCAGTGCCTGCCCCACGGACATAGAGGGTGGGGAAGTGCCTGCCCCATGGGGGGAGGAAAGGTCATTCCCAAAGCAGCCCTCCACCCCCAGCAGCCTCCCCAGCCCCTTGGCAGCCCCTCCTGGCTGCCGCAGGGTCTCCGCCCCGCACCAGGATCTTGCAGAAGGAGCGGTACTCCAGGTAGGTGAGATGCTCCGCCAGCTCGGAGGACTCCAGGTGGTCAAAGAGCAGCGACATCTTGCGTTTCTTCGGGGCCACCGGGTTGCGCTGGGTCACTTGGCGCTTCCACTTGTAGGTAGGGCTGGGGGGGGGCACAGCCGGGGGGGGTATGTCAGAGCCAAGCCAGTCTTTGCACCCAACCGCCGGCACACGCTCTTCCTGCACACGCATGCACAGCCCAGAGACCCCTGCGTGCTCCCACGCCCCGTGCACACGCAGACATGCCATGTGCAAACACACACCTCTTGCACTCCCACACACACACCATGCACACGCACACACACCATGTGCAAACACATGCCTCGTGCACTCCCACACACACACCATGCACATGCACACACGCCATGTGCAAACACACGGCTCGTGCACTCCCACACACACACCATGCACACGCACACATGCCATGTGCAAACACACGCCTCGTGCACTCCCGCACACACCATGTGCAAACACACACGCCATGTGCACACACATATGTCCTGGACACTCCCATGTGCATGCCCTGCTCATGCCCACACAAACATGCCCCATGCACTCTCATACACACATGCACAGTGCACACACACAACAGACTCATTCACAAGCATGCACTGGAACACCCCTGTGCACACGCTTGTGCCACAGCTCACACCTGCTCCTCAGTCCTCCTCAGCCCATACAGGCCCCCTGCTCACACACAGGGTGCTGTTGGGGTGACAGCTGCTCTGGGACACCTCATCCCTATCCCTGACCCTCCCATTCCCCCAGCACCCCACCACCTCGACCCCATCCCCACACCCCCTCAGATCCCCCAACTCCCCCACTCCCCATGCTCCCACCCCCACCACATACACATTCTCAATGTCGATGAGGTTGCTGTGACGCCGGTTCCCCTCGCGGCCCAGAACCTCCTTTAGCTCCTTGATCTGCTCTGCTAGCTCCGGGTTCAAATCAAACTCCGCCGGGAATGCTGAGATCCAGTACCTGGGGGTGGGGGAGGGGTAACAACAGCCAACACCCGGAACACAGCCGCCTCTGGGGTGGGGTGCAGGGACTGTTTGTACAGGGATCCCTCACCCAGCACTGAGATGAAGCCGCCTCTGGGGTG